CGCCATGGGCTGGGGATGGAACTTGCAATGAGGCGGCTGAGGCCAGCTTCGTTGTGCTGTGCTTTAACCCGCTGCGCTACCAGGGAGGGCCCCATTTCTGCTCTTTGTTCTCACAGCTTGGATCTACTGTAGAGGCATCTGCAGTCTGTCCTACCCCTAAGCCAGCAGGCTCTCTAGCCACGTGGTTACTGTGCGTCGCCAGGCAACCAGGCAGTTACAGTGCAATCCTGCCCATTGGCTAGCCATGGGGCCAGACAGAGACTGGGCCTCATCTGCAAATCGAGCCTTGACCTAAAAAGATGAGGTTCAGTCAGAGCTGAGCTCTTATGAGGCAAACCTATCTGGCCCTTCCACCAGTGTTACTGAGAAGCTACCCTCCCGGGGCACTCTGCTAGCACTCCGCAGGCCACACAAAGCTGGAAGAACTGTCCAGTCCTCTGGCTCTCCAGCTCCTGGTCCAGTCCTTCCTGAGGTCTACCACACCGATACCCTTGGGCTCCCTGACACACCGCTCGGTCCGCCAATGAATTATCCTTTCTTTGATTAAATCAGAGCAATTTGTAGGCATCTTAATTGCAATGAGGGAATGTCAGCTATTTCCCCCTCACCACCACTGACTCCCATGGCCTGCCTAGCAGTTTCCATCTCTCTTTTTTCTAGCAAAGGCAGCAGGACTCTCAACTCAACAGACTAAGCCCAACGATAAGCAGTGGGCCTCCTTGGAGTCTTTTCACAAATCTTTTATTTTTTTCCAATTAAGCATGGCCACAAAAGAAGTGGAACAAAAACTAAAAACTTAAAAAAAAAACACATAAAAGGAGGTAAAAGGGCCTCATGCAATTTCATTAGATAAAACCCATACTTCTCATGCCAATTCCAGCAGAGAAAACATCTTGACAAATCATGTCCTTTAGTCAAAACAAGTTGAGGTCCAAACACATGGAGTAGATATAAAATATATTATTTTCAGGAGACTGAAATCCAAGCCACAAATCCCAGAAACGCATTTTAAAAGTGCTGCTTATTAGACACGCTAGTTTTAAATTAAATTAACGTTGCAGTGAGGGGGAAGGTATGTTTCAATTTATTTATTAGATCACTATCAAGCTTTCCTTTAAGGAGGTCAAGGTGCTTCACGTACAAGCCTTTGGAGAGAAGATTTGGCTGTTTGAAGAATGTTGGGTTCTGTCAAGGCTGTGGCTCCCTGGTTGAAAGCCCCCCTCCCTGGCCCCCACCATCCCTGGGGCACCGCCCTTTGAAGCCAAAGGCTCCTTGTGGCTAACCACAAGTCTGTCCCCTGGTTAAGGAGTGCATTCAGCTGACTTGAAACACTTTCTCAGAGCCTCGGCAAGGAATGTTCTTGGGCACACTTGCTCCTCTCAGCTCGTCTGCTCTAAGATACAGGGCTTGAGGGCGCTAACTTGGGAGAGCAGTGTCCTACAGCTCAGTGTCTTATCACTCCGGAGGTTTTTATTCTTTTATTTTTGGAGATTATATTAGTAGATGAGATCATGGGTACACTAGGCGGGCCTTCATTGTCAAAGCCTCTCTGGACTCACTTATTTTGAAACCAGGTCAGCAGTACAAGTGAATTTTCCACCCTTTAGACTGGAGAGAAAACTCTCAGAACCAGCCAAACCCTGACTGGGCTGGTATCTAGCTGGAGTGCAGATTGTAGTTTCCAAAGATTGCTACAGCAGCATGTTCTGCTCCTCATGCTGTGGAGTGCTTTTCAAGAGGAAAAAGGTGTGTCCCCTCTCCTGAACCCTGGGGGCATTGGGATGGCCTCAGCAGAGAGCCATGGAAGTGGAACTAGGTGACCTAGGAGGCGTCCATCTGGCTTTCTGCCTCAGGAGAGTGTTTGCCCCTGGAATGCAGCCACCATGCTGTGAGGAAGCTCAGGCCACACATGGAAGCCTGTTTGGAGAGAACTGAGTCCCTGAGCTCATGTGGGGCTGACGGATGGACCAGTTGACATCACCACAACCTGCTGACCAAGAAAGTGTTCCATCTTTGGGGTGAGCTCTGCCCAATGTTGCAGGCTCATGAACAAAATAAATGACCATCATTACTTTAAGCCAATGTTTTGCAGTAGCTTCTTATACAACAATAGAAAACCAGAATGGGTGAGGATGAAAGACTTCTTTGGAAATACTGGTTACAGGGGACATGCAAAAGCAATATAAAGAAAGTGACTTGAAAACTTGCTGTAGAATGCAAATGAGGTTTTACCTCTAGCAAGGGCACAATTCAGATGCCCTGACACCCTCCTTATGGAGGATTTGTTTGATGTGGACACAGGCATTTTTCTTAACTTTCACTACCTGCAGTGATTTACATAAAGAAGATGGGATCACTACTGGACTATTGGCATCATGTACGATGTCTGGGATGGAGAACTTCACTTCTCTATGGTGCTGTGGCTGGCTGAGGAGCAGCAGCAAACGCCTGCTGAGGTGAGCACTTCTCCTGGTGGATTAGGTACCTGAGTTGTTTGAAATTTCTGGCTCTGGGTCCTAGGTGGTCAAGGCTTTTCTGCTGGTTCTGTGAGCTCTGTCACGTGTCCAGTTTCATGGGCTCCCTGCAGCTTTCCCTAGGAGGGACAATCTATGTCCCAGAGACTGAGATTAGTAGGTAGGACTCACAGTGAAGAAGAAAAAGAGGATATGGAAAAACATCACAGTCTTACAAAAATAACACCTTCAGGCACAAAGAAAAGGATACTCAGAAACCCACATCTCTCTGGCAAGAACAGTCAATTGTGAAACGTGAAATGCTGTGCCCGTAGCGGGAGGTGTCTTCTTCTAGTCAATCACTTGCTCACCTGGCCTCCAGTCAGCATGAACCAGGTGCCCAAGCAGCGGCTCTGCCCAGGACTCAAGGACACTTAGATCGGCTCTCTTCTTAAAGTTCCCATTCTGACGGTGATCACAAAGTTGTAACAATAATAATCACTATGTAATACTACCTAGGAGTTATCATAGCACACTGTTCCGAGTGCTTTGTATGAATTAACTCATTTAATTCTCATAATAGCCTTACCAAGTAGAGGCTACTCGATTGTCAGAAAAGTCATGATGCATGTTAGCATAGAAAGCACAGAAGAAATATATCATGACTTTTTTGACAACTCAATGTTATCACTCCAATGCATAGGTAAGAAAAGTTAGGCACAGAGAGGTTCAGCATGGCATCCAGGTCACACAGCCAGCAGGTGGCAGTTTGAGTTGTCACCCAGACAGTCTGGCACTGGGAGTGTTACCACTATTCTCTACTGACTCTTGTACACAAGAGCAGGCAGCAGAACGCAGTGAGTACTGTTGGCATATACTGGATGCCTTCTAGTCACCACCAAACCAAATGTAAAACAAGAGACATTAAATAGAAAAGACATCCTCATGGGGAGAGCCCAAATTGCTTTTTCTTAAACCCATTATTGGACAGCTCTCTCTGAGAGCAGTCTCAAAGGGCAGGGGTGAGTCATCCGGAGCCCTGACGACAGCCTGAGTGGAGAGACACCTAAGCAGCCCAGGGTAGATTCAAAATTTCCTCAGACAGAGCAGTAATGGAGCAGCAGGAAGAAAACCTGCATGTCCACTCTGGCTGCTTTACTGACTGGCTTAGTCCGATTGTCTGGCTTCTGTCCTCCGGCTTTGGAGTGGCCAGTGTTGCTGGCATGTGCATTGATGGAACGCTGTAAGGCCAGATCTTTGTAGATTAATTCATGATTTCAAAGACTCTTTGAAGCTGGCAAAACATTCTGTTATTTCTAAGAGATACTGCAGTTGAAATCCTGGTATGGACTGGGAGGTCAGACTGATCTTGTTTAGATCCTTCTAAATTTAGAAACTTTACAGTGGGTTAAAAATAGATCACATTTGTGCCCTTTTCCTCTTTCACCGCTCACTGCAAAGGCTGTCCAACATTTTTAACTTTCCCTTGAAATTAGCCAGGGAAACTAGCACCTGCCACTGGGAATCCACTGGGTGGAAACTCAAGTCATTTGGGATGGGTGTTGGGCATATCTCTAGTCTTATGATGGAGCAGTTATCCCTCTTACATAGTAAGTTCTAGAATTAATAGCAAAGCACTATTTTACTAACAACAGATGTTAAATAGAAGAGATCTGCTAGTCTCTCTCGTTACACTCTTCCTATCTAACCATTCCATTCGGATGTTTTTCTTCTTGATTCCTCTTTGAGTTCTCACACTACAGAGTCAATCCCTTCTGTTTTCTAGAGGACAAAGTCAGAAGAAACAGGTGTCCATACTGACTATGTGGACAGGAGAAGAGATCATCAGGTCTCACTGCTAGAGGTAGAGGCAGGTGTCTCCCCTCACCCACCAGTGTCCCAGGTGGGGTGGGGTGAGATGGGGGTGCGGGGGGGCTACTAATAGTGAGGAGTGTGTGTAGGATTCTTTTTTTTAAAAATTAATTTATTTATTCATACAGAACTGGGATGCAGGCCAGAGGTGCAGGGGCAGTAAGAGGATTCACCAGAGACAGAGTGGGGAGCAGAACGGGCCGATTGACAAAGTACACCGCTGAGGGGAGCAGCGGGCGGGTCAGGAGAGGTCTGCCACGCCATGTGGTCACCTCTGGGGCAGGAATCAAACTCATGCTAAAGTGCTTTAGCTTCTTAGTGCTGTGCTTTAACCTGCCGTGCCACCAGGAAGGGCCCACGCAGGATTCTTGTACAGTGAATATGTGGGCCATGAGGAGAAGTTTCAAATGTGCTATCCTGGAGGAATGGCTTGTGTCTTTACATATTGATTAGAAAAGATCACTGGTGAGATTAGGGGAGAAGAAGCTATGAGACTAGCAGTCCAGGCTGTTTATAACTCAAAGCTAAATAGAGAATACACTAAATTCTTAGAAGAGCCAAAAGACCGGGCTTTTTCTTACTTACATGATCCTCACCAGGGTTAAGGGGCACCAGCATTATCATGCCCAGTAAAACAGTGTCACCCTCAGGATGACCTCCTTATGGTTACCCTACCTTCATGAACATGCTGAATCCAGTTTTAAGAAGATCAGTCAGGCCTGAAGACATGTGCTCAATATCAACTGGATCTGGCCTCTCAGGATGAAATATTTCCTCCACGACCTGTTTCAACAAAGGCTTGTAAGACGCCTGCAAAGACAAAACATGTGCTGTAAGTACAAGGGCCTGTCTGGCTTCTGGAGCAAGGCTAGCTATGTATTTGCGCTAAACAAAGCAAAGCAAATTTATTTTTACACTGAGCCACGGTTATTCTTCTCTGTTGTCTAATACTCTAGCAATATTTTGTTTCTATATTTCCATCTCCAAATACAAATACAAAGGTATGCACATCTTTTAGCAGAGCTCTAATCAGCACAGACTAATTTTTCAATTGAGACATAAGTGATAGTTTCATGTGTGAGCTATACTGGAGAGCAAGTATCGTCCTTTGATGGAGTCATGAAGATGGTTTCCCGTTTTTCCGAAACATTCTTAGAATTATGTCTTCTTCTAGTAGGAAGTCAAATGTTTTCTTTTCTTCTAATTTTAATTTTTTTTTACATCATTCTTCATTTTGTGCCTCTTTCCATCTCAGCTGCAATCCCCATGGGCCTCCCATCACCCATTCACCCGTGTGCCATCACCACAGTCCAGCGCACTCTTCCTACCCCAGTTCCGATCCCATGTCCCTTCCCACCCCCATAAAATGTCTCTGATGTATAGTTGTTCATTGTGGAAATCAAATGTTTTCTTACAATGTATTGTTTCTCTCCAAGCCTCAAGCAATCCATCCTTCCTATACAGAGTTTAACTCCAAGTAAAACTTGGCCAGAAAAAGAAGTCAAGATGCCAAAAGGGAATCTGACAAAGTCAGGATTGGAGAAGGCAGGCCACGTGGTACTATCAGAATTTCAGTAGAACAACACCGCAGTTGCAGAAATGCCACGAGATCCATCACATTTGGGTGCTATTTGCAGGCAGAGCCAATATCTGCGCACTGCGTTTCCCGAGCGCCCGGCCATCGGTTTCCTGGGGTTTTCTCATAACTAAGTTTCCCTGCTCTGCCTACCCTTCCTATCAGCGGGGCCACCGTCCTCCTGGTCCCGTTCCTGCTCTGCTGTGCAGTTGCATGGTGCACAGAGTTTGGAACATGGAGAGCCAAGGAAGAAGGAGCGTACGACCAGGAACTATGATGCTCACTGGCGGTGTCGGATAACCCAGGTTCCGAGAGAGCTCTGTGGCCATCTTCCACTCTGCTTCTCTCCTTCCATCAGCCCAATCTGTGCCTATGTCTACCAAACGTTGAGGATATTTGGTGTATGGACGTCATCTTGTTTTTTTACAATCATTTTTTGACTCTTATTTTCCCTTGATTTCACTTGTCATACTTCAAATGTCTTAAAAAAAAGCAAGGTGGCCTTTCCTGATGGCAAACGTGGCAAACATAGCAGCACTACGAAGCTCGCAGCAGCCGCTTCACAGCAAGTTTGATTCCCAGCTGGGGAGCTGACCCACATGGCGCGGCAGACCTCTCCTGACCTGCCCGCTGCTCCCCTCAGCAGAGTACTTCCTCCATCTGCCTGTTCTGCTCCCTACTCTGTCTCTGGTGAAGCCTCTCACCACTCCCGTACCTCTGGCCTACATCCCAGCTCTGTATGCATAAACAAATAAATCTTTGAAAAAAAGCAAGGTATAAGCCATCAAGATCATAACTAGTGGTTAATCTAGAATGTAACTGGGGCATTTATTAGGGATAAGATGCCGGGAGAAATAGCACTTGTTCAGCTGAGGAATGCAGTCCTTTGATGTTAATTAGTCAAACCATTGCCAGCTCAGAGTTCTCACAGCACAGGTAAGGCAGCAACACTCATAAGACAGCATAAAAGCAAAAATAAAGCCTATGACTCAGCTTTCCTGACAATAAAGCCAGGATAATTTTTTTAAATCCAGAGGTTTGAAAATGCACTGTTTTGATGAGGCCAGAGGGAAACAGGTGCTATCATATGTTGTTGGGGTGGTGGGGGGAGAGGAGGGTGAATTGTTATAATCAATGTGGAGAGTAATTTGGCAATACTTATCAAAATTACAAATGCACATGACCTAGCAATTCTACCTCTAAGGATCCAGTGTGTAAATATATGCAATAAGACCTATTAAGTCTGCTTACTGTTTTTATTTTTTTATTTTTAAAAAAGATGTATTGATGCATAGAAGAACTGGGCTACAGGCCAGAGGTGGGTGTGGGACTGAGAGGGTTCACCAGAGACAGATGGGGGAGCAAAACAGATCGACTGACACACACTGCTGAGGGGAGCAGAGGGAGAGACAGGAGAGGTCTGCCGTGCCATGTGTGTCAGCTCCCTGGTGATACTGAACTCATGCTGCAGTGGCTGTGGACAGCTTCATAGTGCTGAGACTTAAAGCCTTGTACCATTACAGAGGTCCTGCTTATCATTTTTAATAGCAAAAGATTGGAAACAACTCATGAGCCCATCACTTGGAAGTGGTTTACTAAGTGGGATGCAAGCTTCTCTCTTCATTTGAAGAGAGAAGTTGTGTATTCATAGGGCAGAAAGCAAGGGAGGAATAATGGGTGAGTGACAAGAGCCAGGTGAGGAAGAGAGGCATGACGAAAGCGTGCATTTGCTGAAATATGCTAAACAAACAACAAAGGAATCTGTTCCACAGACTTTACTATAAGCATGAGGCATGGGGGCCAGACAAGGGACCAAAGTAGCAGGAAGTCTTTCCTGTATTGCTTTATTTATTTATTTATTTTTAAAGATTTTTTAATTTATGCTTAGAGAACTGGGGTACAGGCCAGAGGTGTGGTGGATGAGAGGATTCACCAGAGACAGAGTGGAGAGCGGAACAGGCAGATTGACAAAGCACACTGCTGAGGGGAGCAGCGGGCGGGTCAGGAGAGGTCTGCTGGGCCATGTGGGTCAGCTCCATGGCTGAGGATTGAACTCGTGCTGCAGTGTCTTGGGAGAGCTTCATAATGCGGTGCTTTAACCCGTGGTGTCACCAGGGCGAGCTCTCCTGTATTGCTTTTTAAAAAGCACAGCTAAGGGACCACTATGAACAGTAAGAATAACTTTCTTTTTTTTAAAAGTCAATAGAGTGATTGAGACTGGGGCTCCGCTACTGGGCCTGTGAGGATGGTGCTGGGTGGTTGCCCGACCTGATGAATTTACTGATTGTGACTCTCCAGTGGAGCATGTTGGAAATACAACTGCATCCCAGGAACTAGGTTATGTTTGTCTCAGGTTTGGTGGTCAGGCCTACAGTGGCGTGGGACACCCTTCAGTTGAGTGCTGGGCCCTAGTTGGAATTGAGTGTGCCAGTCCTAGAACCTTTTTACATGAGAATAAACCTTGTATAATGTAAAAAAAAATCAATCCTTTCTTCATGGATAGGAAACATTGGAGTAAAGCTCACTAAAATGTTAATCAGTATTATCTCTAGGTACTGGGAAGAGAGGATATTATTTTCTTTTTGCCAAATCTTGAGTCATAAAAGAACCTAATAAATATTTTCAATGATAAAAAGGAAGGTCCGTAAATGGCCTCTGGATGCCATAAATCTTCTCCCCTGAGTAAGTTGAAAGTTGTTTAAAAACTGTTCCCCAAGAAACACCTTGGATAATACTCTGCTACCTTATCAGCATTATCATTAAATATTCATTGACCCACTGACTTCGTACTTAGAATCCAAGTTTTCACTGGACACAGTACCTGGCTAGGAGCCTCCATTCTCTACCTTCTGCTTAGGTATGGCCATGTAGTGAACTCTGAGCAAAGGAATGTGATTGGAAGGTGAGTGAGACTTGACAAAAGTATCCTTTTTTCAAAATTAACAGGCAACTATAAATCAGTGGCACTCAGCAGGGAAAGGGGAGGGAGAGGGATCAGGACAGGACGGAAGAGATCAAGGACTATGGTACACGGTGACCTGGGGATGGGGGTTTTACAGGGACTGCACCTGAGAGGAGAAAGCAAACACTGTACAAAAGGGAAGAATTGTGTAAAATACGTGCAAAATTTTAATAAAAGAAAAAGAAAATCCCAAACAGTATCCTGTGGGTCTGCTAGGCTCTCCCAATAGGGTACATTAGAGCGGTGTCAGAGGCAGGAAGAGCAAGTGGGGACCTGAGCCACCCTGTTTGCTGTTCTTGCCAGTTTCGCCCCAACTATGGCGCCTCGCCATTGGAGTTATCCCTTTTCTGAGGAACCCAATAATAGACTTAGTCGTGGAATCCAATAAATGACCTTTCTTTTTTCTGCTTTTACTTCTAGCCAAAAGCACATGAAATGACAGAAGCATCATTAATTTGAAGAGGTGTTGATAAGTTTTCTTCACATAGATATTATATAGATTTCTAAATTTTTCACTGAAATGACTAATATGGTATGTTGACAGAGCACAATTTGGGAGAGACTTTCTCAGGTCTAAGAGAGTATACGTCTTGTGACTTTTTAGCAAACATTTCTTAGTTTTTTTCAATTAGCATTCTAATGATGGGAACTCCTTTGACTCCTTCCCCTCGGCCACTTAATTCAGACTGCTTTGTGGTCCATATCATGTCACTGAAATTTGAAATGAACTGCTCTGGCTGAGAATGCTGAGATGAAGCTCCTGTGACTGTCATGGAATTTTCTTTTCAGCCAGAAACTACTCACGTAGCAAAGGACAGAGGAGGTGCTAGTTGCCCCTAGAGACTCACTAGGAAGGACCTGAGGGGGATCAGTCCTATTGTTTGCCTCCACACTCTGATGGTTAACCACAGTAATTTGATTTTCCTAATCAAACATCTTCTGCCAGTTTACCTCTTTGGAGAAGATTAAAAACACAGACTAAAATTTATTTTTCCCTTTTCTTGTTGGTTATTTATTTCTTGCTTCTACCACATCAGGATGGGCTGGATCTGTGTCTGATACAGTCACTCAGAGACCCAGATTCCTACTGCGAGCAGGTATGCCCTGCCCAGGGGTCTGGAAGCCCACATGCAAGCCTTTGCATCAGCACAGGTTCAAAGAAGGAGAGAGGATGAAGGATTTCCAGAGAGATTTTATAGGTTCAGCCTAAAGTGACAAGTAATACTTCCATTCATATTTCATTGGTCAGAATTAGTCAAAGACTCAGGTTTC